ATCTGGTTTTGGTTGTTGGTTTTTTTTTTTTTTAATGCCCAGAAAATCTGTCTATAAATAGAATTTGTTCTTTGTACTCAGTTCTTCAGATCACAGAGGAAGGAAACTCATTAAGATAATCTTACAAAGAGATCAAGTGGAAAAAAGAAGCAACAGTTAGCCCACATGTTATATGGAAAAGCCCCGAAATTGTAGACACTTGACTGTCCCCCTCTCCTTTTCCCTCTGACATAAGGTTGTGGTCAGAGTATTTACTGATTATTATTTCATTAAAATACAAGTATGGGAAAGAACATCAAGATCATGGTTCAGAAAGCCTAATTCTGATTTTACTTATCCTAGTAAGAACTGCATTAGTTCTAGCTTTCCTTGCTCCCATGCATGTTTGGTCTTCTAATTTTATTCCTTGTTTTAAAATTCTCTTTGATTTAGCTTTCAAGGTGAGGAATGTGCTTACTAACAGCAGTGATATGGCACTGCATGTGGGAGCACTGGCACAGCTATCTGAAGCCTTGTTTGCAGCTGCTCTGGCTTTTTCTATTATAGAAGCATTTTGAAAAATCTATTATTTTAGGGAGAAATGCATCAATAATGGAGGAAAAACAGAAGTTTAGAACGGAAAGCTTGTGCTGCTGTGAAATGAGATGGGAGATTAAATAATAGATCATGTGCATGAAAGGTTGAAAATTAGTTTAATCGCTCAAAAAAATGTTGAAGAAAGAGCTATTCTTATTTTCCCCTCATGGTTACCACTCTGTCTTACGGTTTAAAGTGCTCCAGAAATTGCTGACTTCCTCTGTGCAGTAGATTTCTATTGAAATCTGAAAGCTTTGAGATATTTCAGAAAAGTGTTATTGGGCAGTTGTGTAATAAAATTAGTGCCTGGTGGAAATCCTATCCCCTGCTGCTGTGCAGAGATCCTCTCAGGGAGCCCAGTGAATTTAATAGAGCTGATGGAGAAGCTTTCTTTTTTCTGGTCAAACTTATTGAATTTTCCAGACATTCAGTGAGTGAGACACTTCGCTGGATTGTATAATGAAGAAGGGAGAAGGACAGTGAGGAATACGAGGTAGAAAAGAAACTGCAGCTCTAGTTTGCTGCTTTAGAAGAATCCCCTCCAACACAACCCCTTCCTCTCTGAAGAACAAGGCATCTTGGAGGTACTGCTTTAGCTCCAGGGTTTTGCTGTGCTACAATGAGACTCTATCAATGGGACAAAAATTTTTCAACTGTGTTGAAACTTTCAATTGAAATTGCTCCTTTTTCAGCTTACACAAGCCCTACACTGAGAGACTTACACAAAACCGCTCTAGTGATTGACATCTACTAAAAAAATAGATTTTGTTCACAGAAAAAAGGCAAAATAATAAATGTTTTTAACCTTTCTTTGAAGAACACAGACTTTTTCCCCAAAAAGATTATTTGTTCAGAGGCAAAGCCTGGTTCTTTTGGAAAACACATCTGAAATGCCCTACTGACTGTATTGATTATTGCCCATGATCTTTACCTAGAGAAACAGCGATAGCAAAGTCCTTTGAGCGGTTCCCAGAGCTTCTCTTTTTCTAGGATCACAACTCTGACTAAGATAGATAGTAATTTGGGGTTGTGAATATTTTCTTCAGGTTCTATCATGAGTAATGCAATAGGAGAATGATTTTTACTGAACATCACTTATAAGGAGAGAACAATTCTGCAATACTTCATTGAGATGATCACTCACTCATGTTGCCTGTTAATCTTTGGGAAATGATCCCATAGTTGGCTTCCCTGGAACAGAAATACCCCATCCATACACTCCTCTGGACTCTACGGGCTGCATCACCTCACTTGTTATGAAAAATCAGATTGAAATTGTTTTCCCTGTAGCTGAAACTGGTTTAATGTACTTACACCTTTCTCTACCAGCTGTTTGCCTGTCCCCAGAGGTGAGCTTGTGGCAGGAATTGCTCCTTCCTGAGCATCTGAGAGTGCCCAGGACACCCTGGTCAGTGCTTCAAATCAGCCACTGCTGTTACCTGCAGTTATCTCTGTCCAGCTCTAGCCAGCAATCTGCTAGTGTTGTGAATGGTCTCCCCATTCCTGAGGAGGAGTTACCTGGAATTACCTGTAGTGTGGATTTTCAGATGAGGTGCTTTGATACCATCCACCTCGCACTTGAAAAGATGATTTCAGCTGAGCCATTTTGAGGAATCCTATGTGTTTCAAAACAAGGTCTCTTGGCTCATCTCAAATCTCTGCCTTGCTATTTGACTACCTTCTATGTGCACTAACTCTGTGTCCTCCAGTCATGCAGTTCACATGCTTGCCACTGTTAAATATCACAGATCTCCTTAGAACAGACCTAACCATGGTGTAAACTATTCTACATATCACAAACTCAGTTTAAGCAGATGTAACTTGTAAATAGAGGAAAACATTTCTTTTTAAAATGGAATAAAACGTAGTAGGTGAGGTAGTACAGATTCCCACTGATGATTGATTGTTTTAACTTCTTTGTGGGGTGACTTGCTCCATTGCCTCCTGTTACGTTTATTAATGTCTAGCTTAAATTGTCAGTTAAGCCAGCTCTCAATTTATCCAAAGGTTTTAATATAGGAGCATAAGGAGATTACAGGAACAAATGGTCAGGAGAAAAGAAAGCTCAAGACAACAGGTCTGATCCTTACACAAATAAGGAAACAAGGTTTTGTTTATACAGAGTATCCCATTCTTACCAAATTCAACAGATAAAATTCAGCTAAAAGTGCCAGTGTTGCTTCCTTCTCTGCTATTAATTTTAAAAACTGCTGTAGACATCACTGTTTTGCAGATACTTGCTTAAGACAAATAGATGTCTACATACAAAGATGAAAATGAAACTGGTTTTGCTGTGAGATGGAAAATCACCTGGAAAATTCTCCTGAACTGTGGGCAAAATATCAGCAAAGCATTTGTGTACTTCAGTGTTCCAAGGCAATGTTCTGAGTATGATGCCAACCAGTCATTGATTTCTATCTCAAATGATTCCTTTAAAGAAGTGTTTCAGTTCGAACAACCTAAAGCAGGCATAACTGTTTCCTTCTCAACACCCTTATGCTAGTTTTCTGACAGCTACCCACATAAAAGCTTTATCTTTGGCGGGTGGTTAGTAGGGAATGCAGAAATCACAGTTTAGTGTACAAATGGTGGGGGGCTTTTTGCATGTGTTTGTTGACCCTCTAACACCCACCTACCCACACAGAGCCTGTGGTCTAAGCCACATAGCATCACTTAAGTCATACATCTGAGAAGGGTGGGCTTCAAGAGTGCTGCAAGTTCAGTGTGGTCAGAGTTGGATCTGGGACTACCCTTCTGTGACATAATGTCAATAATGTATGCACCAACCCTGCCAAATCTCTCCATCCTCTGCTTAGAAAGCGTTGACTCCACAAAACCTCTTCTTAGATGCCAAGTTAATTTCTTTCAACCCCTGTGCTAGAGTCAGCTTTCAAATGGACTCTACAGCAGTTTCCTATAGCATTTGCTTCCAGTTGGCCAAGGCTCTGAAGTGCTCTAGAAAGGCTCATGTTTCCTGGAGATTAGAAGTTTGTCTTTACTTCAGTCACCTGAAACTGTGGTTGTCAAAAGTGTGTTAGAGCTATTTCTAGCAAAGTTCATGTTGACGGTTTTCAGTTATCACCATCACATAACACATAACATGGCAATAACTGCAGATAGGGTAGAAAACTCCTTATTAAAATATTACTTCCAATATGGTAGGCTTTTCCAGACAAGAAGCAACTGAGGCAATGTATCTTTAGAAGTTGCCTCTTATCAGCTGAGACAGAGTAACAGACTGCCTATGAGCCCTTATTCTATCTCGGAAAATCAAATAAGAATAAATGACTAAATCACAGACTTCATAAAAAAGCTCAGCATAAATTGATTGCTCCTCTCCTGTGGTTCCCTTATAAAGCCAGTCTTTTGCATTTAAACTGAAACTTCTGTGAATTTCAACTGGGAATAATTCAATGAGGTCTGTTACCAAACTGCCCAGTGAAGTCACTGGAGCGTGTGTAAACGGTTTTGAGAGCAATGCGTTACATACACACTTCAATTTTGAATCTATGGCACTGGATTGCTATGATAGCAGTGGTATCTCTATTGTAAATAAATGGTGAGACTGATTCAACGTATTTGGAAGTGATGGGTAGGCTGATAAGTTTCAAGTACTACACATCCAGCAAGTAAAGACATTTGAAACCTAGGGAAACACCGTAGAAGAGTTTGTTCTGTGCTCAGTACATTTATATTTTAGCAGTAGCCAAAAGAAAAAGAAGCCTAGCAGTCAGTTCAGGTGTTTTCTTATGAACAAGTGACTGTCTGATTAAATACCACCTGAAAACATCACTTTTAGAACAAGATCCTACCTGCAGGGTACCAAAGGAAAGCTGTTTTGCTGACTTAGATTGCATGTTTTAGCTCAATTTCTGCTGTATTTAATCTGTGCTTCCCTCATCCATAGGCAGGGGTAGGGAGCAGCACTCATAAGGTGCTATTTCTTCAGGCCTGCAAACTTAAGGAAGGAAGATGGCACATCTGTAAAGGAGTATTACAAAAAAAGAATAGAAAGGCTTTGAATGTATAGTGTATTTATTTCATACTGTGGATTAAAGCTACAAGAATTTAGCGGTGCTTGTGGGCTCTGGCGGTTCTCAAGCCCTTCTTAGCAGCCCTTTTAATGTACAGCTGGTAGAAACTCCAAAGATGAGCCCTAAGGTTTGCCTTCTCTGTGTGTACATGTATACCATTACATATAAAATGCCCTCTTTGTATTTTACTCAGCCTGTTGATCTTATGAATAGTAATAGATTCTGTATGGATCACGCTTCCTAACAGCTAAAGAGTATCTTTTGTCATGGTGTCACAGGATGGTTTTGGACACAAATACTAATATCAGCTATTCCTGTGACTGCTTTCTGCATGGGTCTTGTCCAGTAAGCTTGAAACAAAGCAGCGTATAAACATGCCCTTTCCCTTAGGTGCTTGCTGAGATGTTCAGCTGCTTTCATAAAGAGAGACAGGTGTATCCAGCTGGGACTCATTCAGGTGACACATTGCTTTTTCTCTTCCATTAAAGACAATATATGCTTTAGTACTAAATACTGTTTAAGGAAACTTTCCCTTGGAATAGAAGCTGCTTCCATTTCCTTCCCAAATACTGATTTTATTGGGATTGTTTGGTTTTGTTTTTTTCAGAGACACTGCTTTGCTTTGCATGCGCTTTCTATTCCTTACTGAAATCTTGGTGCAATGAGGATTATATGAAGTAAATGCTTAAGAAAACCCCAAAACAAAACCAAAACCTGCTCCCCTTGCTGTTTTTCTCCAGTGGGCTATATTTTGAGATTTAAGGATATATAAAGGGCACTTTAAATCAAATCCCAGGCTATGGAGTGCTATACAAAACATGCTCCCTAGGCACAGTATTTCTTCATAAGAAAATTTATTCCATCTACTTAAATTCCATCTGTAGCTGAATTTCATTTCTGCTTGCATTATGCTTTCATTCCTCTTTTAAAATATTATTTCCTTTGTTCCACACATAATTTAAATCAAGCCACTATTAGAAAACAACAGGATGGCACATAACTTCGTTGTCTATAACAGTCCTGTTATAAATCTTTAATGTATGTGCAAGGACTTAGGCAAATAAAGCCTCAGATGAAAGGCTGGCTATTTGCTCAGGAGAGGGCTGCTCACAAAGGTGTGTGTTTGCAAGGTCAGGATCTCTTGTGCTTCTTTCTTGATTTTGGTCATAAACAGAGTAACTTTCACAAATGCAAGTGGCTGTAGATTCCAGAAATATTCTCAATATACCCTTCACAAAAGCCTTTTAGGTTCTGATCCAGAGTCAGTGGGAGTCTATTCATTGCCTTCCACAGATTTGGGAACAAGACTCAAAGCAGAAGGCAGCTGGGGAAAAACTCCTTTACAGATGCAATTATGGATTAGGTTTTTTTCTTTTTACTTGCTATTACCAACCTGTTCCCATTCTTCAGGCAACTCTTAAAAGAACTCATTACTAAGATCTGGCAGAAGGAAAATTATCTGAAGTGACAGCAGGTGTTTTCTGAACAGGAGAATCTGTTTCTTTCCAGAAAATATCCGTACTGAACAAGAAGATGAGAACTGTAAATGCTGTAATGGTGGGAAAGAGCATGATGCTACTCATTCTCAGAGTGCTGACCAAGTACAGCACATGAAAAGAGACAGAAGAGATTTGTCTGAATACTTTTGCAATTGAACAAGGTTTGGATCAGCTTTACTCAAGTATTTCTTTCCTGGCTGCCTTTTGTAACTTGCAAAACTGCAGTGATGGTTTAGTAAACTCAGGAGGAGAATAGAATCCAGAAAACAGTGTTTTCGGATGGTTTGCCGATGCGGACAGTAGAAAATCCTTCTGTTTCTCTCCCTAGGAAACACTCCGGGCATGGCAAATTGTAACAAAAAGAAAAGCAGTGTTTTGTAAAGTCGTGCTTTCAAATAGAGAGGTTATCTAACTATTAAGCTTGCATACGCGGTATATGCAGTGAGGCTTTTGAAACTCTGGTGAGATTACCATGCAAGGTCTCAAATTCCTTTTTTATAAAATACTCTCACATGCTTGTAGATGAGATTTTTGAAGCACGAATCCTAAAGAATCCCCAAAAATGACAGACAAAAAGAATACAATTTTTAGAGTTCATTCTTTGTGTTTTGGTTTATCCAAGTTCCATGACTTTGAGTAGTTACGATTTGTCATTATTTGGACTTCTAATAATGGGAGATGCTTTCCCAACAAGGTCTTGCTGACAAAAATTGGCTCCTTCTGTTTTGCGGGCTAAGACTTCCTCTTCTTTTCAGTCCCACTGCTTTTCATTGTCTCTGATGAGGCTTCAGGCCTATGGCTTCCACCAGGCTTTTTGAAAATCACTGCTGAAAGTGAGCAAGTGCTGCTCAGCCACTCTGATGTGTTGATAATGAGGTGTTCTTTCCCCTGATTTTCCCCCCAAAGAAAGCACGAGGATCCCAAAATGACTTGTGACAACAGTAAGTGTCACCAAGTGAGGTAGAAAAAAATTATCTATTATTATAGCTGAATTTTGCTCAGACTGAGGGCTGAATTTTAAACTCAGCTAATGAAAATCCAGAACAATTTTATAACTTATTGTGTGATAGAGTTATTTGGTATTATTTGGTAAGAAGTTATAGATATATTGGTGATGCTGTCAGAGTGAGTGGGAGCTTCATTTTGAACATGGAAACAAAAATTCATTGGGTGACATCAGATGCTTTGGAACAGTTTGCAACAAACTTAACGTGTGATGCAGAAAATTCTTGAGTAATCATGAAATCAACTGGATAGAGCAGGGAGAGAAAGTGGAGGTTTTTCTACCAGATAATACAGGTTTGCTTAAGGCATGTGGTTCTTTACAGCCAGCAGCACTGATTTAAAGTATAAGCAAAGCAATAAGAGAAAACCTGTGATAAAAAGAAATAAATCCTTTTCCTATTTCTAGAAGAAGAAATGTGAGCATCTGTGTTTTCAGTAACCTTGTATCTCGTTTGCTCATCTTTCCTTCTGAACAAAGTACTGACTGACACTGGGGATGTGATGTTCTTCCTGTCTAGGAATCTCTCTGGCTGGCCGCTATACATTCAGCATTATCTGTAGGTAGGACCTGCAGAGGCTTAGTGTCACCAGGGCTAGACGAAATAGATTTGAAACTTAAATACTAAAATGATGCTGGGAAAAGGTACGTCTCTGCAGCCACTGTTCAAGCAAACCCTTGTTAAGTTCACATGCTGTTTCCTTTGTATTTATGTTCAAAAGAGATGAAAAGTTTGTTAAAGATTCCATGAACTCATGAAGGTTCAGAACTGAGCGCACAGCATTTGGAGTCTCCTCCAGATGTTTCAGTGAAAAACAGATATTTGATTTGCAGTCTGTCACTGATCATCAATTTTATTAGAATACGTACTTTCATAGGCTTATTTTAAAGTTCAATGTATTCAATTAATCTGCAAAACCCCAGATGCCAGAATTCTTGCCTAAAGCTTTAGGGAACAGATACAGAAGGTGGAGGAATCATGCATCAGTTCTTCTGCATCTTCTGAAGGTCAGCCTGCCTTACAGGTGCACTTTGAAGGTGCTTTGCAAAATGTAGAGCATGATCTTTCTGATTCTGGATGGTTTTTGGTGTGTAGCTCTACCTTTTGGACAGCAGGTGGAAAAAGCAAGTGCATTATTTTTGCCTCTGTTTAAAACAACAGCTCAGGCAGTAGTACTCAGTCATCGTCCTTTAATCCTCCTTGAAGTACTCAATCTTAGTCCTTTAATCCTCCTTGAATACTACTGCACTGCTGCTCTACAGACAGTAGGTTCTGGGGCTTTTGTTAGTGTTGAAAGTGGAGTGAGTCATGGCAAAGTGTGTACACTGATCTGTAGCTATTACAGAGTATTAAGCAATTGCCCTTGGTAAGAAGTGATAATAGCAAATAATAACTTATTCATTTTGTTGTTGAAAATTGGTTGTCTAATATAACTGAAAATCCCAATTAATTTCAATCTTGATGCTCACAGCAGATAAGCATAATAAAGATTCTAAGAGACCTCCTTTCATACATATGAATAAAATAATTATTATGCAGCATATTTAAGTAGATGACAACATCAGAAAGTCTACCCTTGAATAACAGGAAAGGAAGAAAATAACCTTTCTTTTCTACTCAGAAAGGAAGTACTGGCTACGTATGTGGCATGTTTTGGACATCACTAGCTGTAAGGTATTTTTCTTTATAAACACAACAGCTTTACAAAACATGGTACAAAAATATTTTTATATGAATTCAGCTAAGCTTATCTATTTGAGACCATGGTGAATGCTGTATCTTTTAGCACAACATTTTCTGCACCACTGGTTCCTGATGCAACTATGACACACATTGTCACTCTGCTTTGAAACCATGGACCACGTTTATCCATACGCTTTATATTCTTTCATACAGTTTTGTGCTGGAAGTTTTGTCTCTGGGACTTAAATGACAAAATGGTGCAGTCATACTTCACATTGTAAGGAAATGTCAGTCCTTCTACAAGTGAAAAAGTGGTAGAGATCTAGTGACGTGAATGAAAGTAGTTCAGCAATGTTGAGCAACTACTATTAATTAAATTGACTTGCAACTCATTACTGGTGATGTAGGATAAAACTGGTAAACTTCCTTTGGCACATATCTAAGATAGCAGTGCAATAAAATGAACTTGACTTATGATGCAAGGCTCCTGCCAGGATTACTTAAAAGGCAGGATGAAGAAGTGAAAACATTTGTTTACAAATATGCTTATTTTAGACTGTTGAGAAATTGGATTTTATACTTAATGTGCTCAATTTTAAGCTTGACATGAACAATAATATATGGCAAATAATTCCAAGGTTCCAGTTCAGGAAAGACATTTTGATTAGAGACTCAGAATTGCAAGAAGGCATAAATGCAGCTCTAATCTTTCTTTTCATCTTGTGATTCTTGTTATGAATGCAGTATCTTTCCAACATCAACTCTTATTTGCACTTCTTTTCCTCCCACTGTTTTGTTCCTCAGAGAAAATAATTTCAAAACAGTAGCTTGTTAAATTGCACCAATTACTTTACCTGAAAAGTCTGTTGATAATGCCACCAAAACTGCATGTTCTGAGTACATTGTGTGAAATCCCTGCTATTTCCTCATGATAGATAAATCAATACTAGGTTTATAATGCTCATTCAGAGGTATCTTATAATAAATCCTCCTATATTTCAAATTCATTCTTGGCTTTGCTGGATGTCTAGATGGAGTTAACGGGGACAGATGACATGCACACTGATCGTGACCTGTTACTGGAAAAATTGCACTGATCTTAGGCTCAAATGAGAGCAACTAGAACACCTTCCAAGTCTTCATTAACAGAAAGCGAGAAATTGGGATAGAAGACAAGAGGGGAGCAGATCAGAGTCAGGTGCAATTCACACTCCTCATAGATTTTTCTACTTTCAAATTTGTAGGGCTAATGAAGAATAATTACAACTTATTAATTTCTCATTATCTTAATGACTGCAACTCAGTAACACCATATGTCACAAGGCAAAAAAGAGAAATTTCTCTTGACTGCAGTGTGAGAGGAAATAGCTCTTATCAGCACCTATCAACCTGAAGGAGAAAAGTCTCTAAGACACCCATGTTGCCATGAGTGGAAAGATGCGATAATTTCCAGGGTGTCTCTTGGTGTCATTAGCTGTGCTAGGACTAAACATTACATCTTTAGCATATTGCATCTTTAGTAGCACCTCTGCAAAAACTCTTTGAGCAGAAACTAAACTTCATTTGTCTTATTTCTGAGAATTATCCCTTCTAATAAAGTGACACCACAAATTTTGCTCAAAACTAAAGTGACAGATAGAGCAAAGAGGAAACCTTCTGTTCACTATGTAGAGACTTTCTATATGTTTCCCAGTAATTTACAGTAACTAAATAAATCCCAACTTTCAAAAAAAACATTGAGTTGGAAAATTAAAGACTGCTTCCATTAGTGTTCCTTTACGAGAGATCAATGGCTATTTAATATTGACATTTGACTGAACAGCAAGAAAAGAATCCCTAACTTTTGTCACTTGCATGCACTGCTCTCTTACACATTTATCATGCATTGCCATACAGAGTTAAACATGCCTGAAGCCCAAAATGGCAGTTATTCTCAAGACGGGCAGTTTTTTAAAGCCAGAGCCTCATAAGTCACTGAGAAAGCTGTATCAAGAAACCAGAGAAATGCAGCTTAATATTAGTCCCTAAATTAACAAAGCAAAACCTGCATAGACAAATTTGCTTTAAATGCTGCACAGTTTCTTCCAAAGGCCTGCAATTATTGCCCAAACTGTAATTTTGCAAACACTTTCAGACTATGTAAAAATCCCTCTTATGAACCAAACTTTAAATCATGCTTTCCCTCTCCTGCCCAGTACAAATAGAAAGCTGCTACTGCAGAGTACAGAAAGAGAACATTTGAGTCTGATGAAAACCACTGCTATGCTATGGTAAAGTACAGCTTATAAACATTTATTCACAAAAAAGCATCTGCAGTTTCAGACCATACAGAAGAATTTACCTCAAGCTAGAAATTAGCCATATCTGCCCAAGTCGCATGAATGTATTATTCATTATAAAGACACTCATTCACATAGTTGCAATGTACAGTTTATCACTATCCAAAGGCACAGACCCTGTAAATCCAGCATTAGAGTAATAGTACAGAAAATAGTTTGCACCCAAGCATAGGAAGCATGTTGTATAATTAAGAACAAGCACACAAATGAACACTGACATTAAGTTATTAAGCACCACCTCTGTTTAAGCACTGTCAAATATGACCATAGAAAAAAGCTACAAACCTAACAGCACTAGTTCAGCACAGGACCGTACAGCAAGCACTCCCCTGCAATACACACAGCCACACGATGCAAAACGAGACAGTTAGTGTCACTGCATATCAGCTCCATTCCTTCACTTGATTTAGAAACAACAACAGAAATAACCCATGCTTTGATGCTCCTCCCAGACTAGAGGTTGTGTCTCTCCCAGCAAAAGCTGCAAGGCTTCAGCTCCTGATTAACCCAGGGAGCCGGCGCCTGCTGCAATATCCAAGTCACTTACTGCATTGCTTTTCAGCGGAGTGAACGTGGCTGCTCTTCCCGGGCACACATGGCTCTCGCAGCTGGAGGGTTCTCCGTTCAGCACAGTTCAGCTCCAAAGTCTCTGCATGTGGAGGGTAATTGCCTGTGCTCTGTACTGAGGTTTTCTGGCTGCAGCGACTGCTCACCCTATCCATTGCCTCTGGTGTATGCTAAGTAAGCAATCCCTTGGGTCTTCATAATGAAAGGATGAAGAGTCGCAGCTTTTGAGAGCAGATAAGGTGTTCTGCCGAAAGCCTCTGTGCTTCCATGGCATTTTAAAGGCAATGCCTTTATCCTGCCTCACAGTTTTTTATAGTGCAAGTTGTTGTATCCTGTAACTTGCAGTCAAATTTGCAGCCAAAACCTATTTTTTATGTTTCAGAGAGAACTTGAGTTTACAAATTCAAGCCAATGCATTTTTAAATGTTGAGGAACAAACACTTGCAATTGAACTTAATCTTCTAATTTTCACAAGTGCAAATGAAGGGGTGGGGTTTCCTAGCTCTAAAACATACTGTACCAGCCCTACTTACACAAAGGGTACAGTCAATAAGCAGCAGCCTAAAACTTCATGGATTAACATCCCAGATTTAAAATGCTCCAAGCACTGTTCTAGTCCTGAAGGATGGACTGTTGCCCTTGTCTGTTGTCTGTATGGTGGAGGGTCTGGTCCTACAGTATGTTTACAGGGTTAGAAATAGCAAGCACTAGCAATAAAGACACAGAAAGAGCAAGAGCCACAGTAAATAATTCCTCATTAGGGATCCTAATATTTTGACCATGGTGACATGTCTGTCCCTTTGGGAAGATGTGAGGGAATTTCCTTATAACAAGCCTGAGTGAGGCGTACAGATGAGCAATTTGTGAAGCTAGACCTGACCTTCAAGGGATTGCCAGGAAGAAAGACCCATTCTGGTTCTGTGCTTACCTATTACCCAGGCCTCCTGAGACCTGCCAGTGCTAACAGTGCCTAACGTGTGAAAACCAATACATTGCAGCCCTGCAGGTAAAAATGTGATGCTTTTTCCACACAGGTGCCCCAGGCAGATAGCACAGCAATCATTCAGATTCCCTACAACTAAGCATTGTGTAAGGTGTTGATTCACTCATCTGCCTTAAAGCTCTTGGGTAGGGCAGATTTTCTCTGCCACTGATGGGAGTGTTAAGACCTCCTGAAAACAGTGGTAGCAGCAAGAGGAGGCTTTAACCCTCTTAGTAATGGCTTTGAAATTCCCAGAGGCTGATTATCCTTCCAGATAGCATGGGGAAATCCCAGCCACTGAAAGAGCCTGCCTAATAAATATTGCAGGAATATTAATTGAATCCTTTAGAAAAAGGGCAGTCAAGGACAGGCACCTAGAAAGAGCATGTCACATTCTTCCTTTGGAAAGTGTTTTATTAGCTGGGCTTTGGCTTTTTCTGGAATTTCCATATCAATGCAGCTTTCTACCATGTACCTCAGCACCAGTGGTACTGTACCTATCGTTTTCAGTGCTGCGATTTTTGCCTGTGACAATGCCAAAGATACTCACACTGGCTGACAGATGTTGCTGGAAGGGTGCTGGTTTGCACTTGCACAGAAATACATCTCAGACAAGAGGGGAAACCAGCCCATGATATATTGGTGTCAGTGGGTTTCTATGAAATGAGAAAACACTCCTGTAAGAGAAAAGCTGGCCTTTTTGTTCTCTCTTCTGCTCACAGCTGTGTTTAGCACCTCAAGGTAACAAATTTGTTGAGTCATAGAAAATAAGATCTAACAAAGGTGCCTTGAATTTTAAGTTTGTTGTATATAGAAATTATGTATGAGGCGTGCGTCAACTTTCAAAATGCAGAGCAGACACAGTCCCTGGCCCAAGGAGTATCCAGTGAAGATCAGACAAAATGATGCAGATGTGTAATAACCAGGATTGCCATGTGATAATCTTATTGGAAGGAAAGCAGGAAAACCTGGCTGGATTTGGGAGCTGCAGCATTGGTGGCAGAAACAATTAACTCATGCGGAAGGATCACAACTTTTATAAGACCCTATAGAAAGGCGCTCAAATTCTCCTCTTTATTCCTCTCTCACCCTTTTGGAGTATATTGATCCTTCCAGTAAGTCCATTTACTACCCTTGGTTGGGGGAAAAGCTATAATGGATTTCTTTGAAGTGTGAGTTGGACAAAAATAATTGAGTCAGCACAAATTAGTAATTAGGTGTGGATCCTTTTAACATTCCAGTAGACCCCAGCCCTGGCTATGAGCAGATAAGTAGTTATTCTAACAAGCATAATAATCTTGTGTTCTGGAGCTATGGTGAGGGCAGAGGGAAGAATTATAGATTTCAATGGATCATTTTCCTCTAGTTTTCTGGGCTCCTTGCCTCAGTTCAATAGCACAGCAAGCTCTGCTATGCTAACACATCACTTTACTTTCTGCAAGTAACAGTATTTTAAACCCTGAAAACAAAAAGAACCAAGCAACTGATTTACGGGGGATAGGCACAAAGGATGGCAGCATTGATGCCAAGCCTTTAGGAGGCATTTTAAATTTAAAAAGCACAGTTGCACTCCCCACTCAAAAAAACCTTGAACCCCAAACTCTCTATGTAGTCATTTCAATGGAAAATAAATACGTTGTAAAACTGAATCATAGAATCATAGAATAGTTAGAGTTGGAAAGGACCTTAAGATCGTCCAGTTCCAACCCCCTGCCATGGGCAGGGACACCTTATGCTAAATCATATCACCCAAGGCTTTGTCCAACCTGGCCTTGAACACTGCCAGGGATGGAGCATTCACAGCATCCCTGGACAACC